TTTTTTCGTTATTTAAAAGTTTTTTTTGAAATACCAACTCACTTGAGCATAACTTTCTATAACGTCGCGCGTTGTTAGATTGTAATAGGGTTCTTTTTAAACGCTAAAAAAAATTAGAGAAATTGAAAAATTCAGAAGATTGAGAGAGAAAAAAATTAAGCTTAGCAAAAAGGCAAGAGTTAAATTTTATTAACTTTTTATTTACGTTGAGTTTCGTAAAAAAGTTTTACCTTTTTTTTAAAAGAAGCAAATCATTTAAAATTTTAAAAGAAATAACTGTTTAATATGCAGATTTTAGATTTGATTGGTTTCAACATAAAATACAGGCGGATCCAGCATTTTTTTGTTGTTTGGTCAATTCCCGACATGCAGAAAACTCCAAATATTTTTATATTTATACTTATTTCAAAAAAGGATGCATGGCAAAAAATGGCGATGATTGAAGCCTGGGAACAAAGTTAATAAAATATTTTTGCCATTTTTCTTAACTAAATTAATATTCATTGATAAATTGTCAATTTTATAAAACGATTTCTTAACGTTTAAAAATTATTTTTAGGTAGAAAAGTTTTAAATTTTGGGGTTTTTTTGTTTTTATGCTTTAATCATTGCAATTGTTTGCAAAGCATCCTTATTTGACAAGGATAAACATATAAATGTTTAGAGTTTGTTCCGTGTCTGGAAGTTAACTATCTCAAGTATCAAAAAATACTTAACTCGTTTGTTAATAAGCTTTTTAACTTTTCTTTAAATTTTATAATTTTGCTTCTTCTGAGACGCACGTTAACATACTTTAATATATATATATATATATATATATATATATATATATATATATATATATATATATATATATATATATATATATATATATATATATATATATATATATATATATATATATATATATATATATATATATATATAAATATATATATATATATATATATATATATATATATCCTTAAAAGATCTTAAACTAATCTTAAAAAAAGTTTTTATTAAGAAAATTTTAAAACTATATAAAAAATGAACCATAAACAAGACCATAAACAAATTTGATAAGTTTATTAAGTCCTCGTACTAAAAATAGCAACTGCTATGTTCTATATTATATTATAAATGTTCTTCATTATAAAAGTAGAATTTAATAAGTAGTTAAATATTTTTAAAATATTTAAAAGTAAAATTTAATAATAAGGTATTTAAATACCTTAAAAATATTTAAAAGTTAATAATTCATTTAGACATTCTTAGTATTCAACACTATAACAGTTGTTAACTGTTTGTTATATTATTATTTATTATTAACTGTTATATTTAACTATAAGTATAAATTATTTTATAATTAATACTTATAGGTTATGATAACAGATAAGTTATCATAACCTTGCCTAATGATACACGAACACTGCTGACACATTTTTAGCATTTTTAATGATATACGAACACTACTGAGACATTTTTAGCATTTCTAATGATATACGAACACTGCTGAGACATTTTTAGCATTTTTAATGATATACGAGCACTGCTGAGACATTTTTAGCATTTTTAATGATATACGAACACTACTGAGACATTTTTAGCATTTTTAATGATATACGAACACTGCTGAGACATTTTTAGCATTTTTAAACTCTGTAGTATAACTATACTTTGCAGCGTCTTCACCATTTGATGTTTGAGTTGCAAACTACTACGATCAAGGTTCGACTCTGATTTAGTTGTGAAAGTATGAAAACAGGTTTCAGAAAGCAGGTGCTAAATTAACTTTTTAGAAGTTTTATTTTACTAACGACAACATTTTCCAACTGCTAACAATAGATCCAATTTTTCCGACAAATAAAAATTGTAGAAGGGCTAGACACTTCCTAGGCCCTCTTCCCCCCCTTCCCCCCCCACCTCGGACGGCTCTGATCTAGTATACCAATTGATAAACGAATATTGTAATAGAATTGATGTATGTTTTTTTACAAAGTTTCTTACCATATATAGTATTCTGTCATAATATTATGACTATCATAAAATTAGAGAGATAGGGGGAGTGGAGGGGGGGCTTAACAAGGTATAACTAACAAACTCCTACTTGAGTCAACATCAACTAGGATAACTTTCTTAGGATTACGTTAAGTTTTTTAATAACATATTTTTTTTATTTTTTTTATTAGTTATTTGGATGCTCATAAAATGTACTTTTTATTTTTTTAATAATTCTACGGTGCTTTGTGATAATACCATCCTAACTGTCTTATCACAGAGCACCGTGAAACTGCATTTAACCAGTAAGCTCACGCCTTCATTACCAATGATGTATATATGGCCAGAGCCAACTTTGAACCATGGACCTCTAGTTCTGAAGCTAGAATTCTAACCACTACACTACGGCTGCATAGATGATTTTTCTCTTAAATATTAATAGCTTTGGATAAATCTATATATATACAGTAAAAATAAGTAAAGGTTTTCAGATGTCCTTATGAGTAGACTAGAGCAATTCAAAATTTTTATTTAAATTAGATCTTTTTTTCATCGTCTGAGTTGTCTATCACTGAACTCAACTAGAACCACAAAAAAAAAAACTTTTATTTTTTGAATTTAGATGAGTTGCATAGTTCCTATTTGTCATGAAAAATCATATTTTGCTTAAAATAGATTAAAAGCTTTATCTAATGTAAAGACGTGCGTGCAACCAGAATATGATTAAAATAAGAATGAATAACTTTTTTTGTTTTTAATCCGTGTATTTTATCTTTTATCGACATTAGGTTTAATTTACAGATTTTAAAACCAATACCAGAGTTACCAAAAAGCAAGCATTAACGAAGAGTATAATTCTATAAAAAAAAATTTCTCAAGATGTTAGAAGAAGTTAGACTGTAACTTATCAAGATTCTTTTTTAGATAAAAAAAATCTATGAAAATCATGAAAACAAAGTGTTTGAAATACGCGATAAAGAGAAATAGTTTAATGTTCTTCTTGACAAAAAAATTGACGACATTTTGATGCGTAAAGATAATTACTATTTTTGTTGTTTTATTGTATAGATTTTTATATCGTATAGATTTTATATCGTATAGATTTTTATATCGTATAGATTTTATCGTATAGATCAATATTTATCCTCGAGTATAATAGGTTTAAAATCCTCGAGTATAATAGGTTTTAGGTTCGTAATTTTAGGTTAGGTTATTTATTCATGGTCAAAAATAAATTTACAAATTTTTATTTGACAAAGAGCGGCACGCCAGGTGAAAATGCCGTAGCAGAGAAAGTTAGTGTTTAAAATTGTTCAAGTTTTTTGCGTCCACTGCATTTTGGGTTAACGAATTCCATAATCTTACAATACGGTTGGTGAAGAAGTTGCTTCTTTCAACACAGTTTCGAACAAGTTGTGCTCTTAGTTCTTTAGTGTGTCCACGATGACGAAAACTGTACTTTGAAGATTCCGTGTTAGGTTGATATATATATATATATATATATATATATATATATATATATATATATATATATATATATATATATATATATATATATATATATATATATATATATATATATATATATGTATACTGTATAATAAGCATGTAAATTGCCGAATGATACGCTCAATTTTGAATGAACACAATCTTCTCTATTGTATAGTTTAGTTTAGTGGTCAAAATTTTAAGATATTTACAACAATCCGTAAGAAACTAATAGGCTTTTGGAAAAATCATAAATGTTCGTTTTTAAATTATCAACGAAGTTGATATTTTAAAAACGAATCTATATTTAAATGAATCTATATTTATGAATTTCTTAATGAGGGCTCTTAATATTTATGAATTCAAAGTCACACAATTTGTGTTCAAACATCAGTTTAAAAAAACTTCAAAGGCTTTCGAACTTTTTTTCCCTAAAAAATCAAACTCGATCTACAGGAAGATTTATAAAACCTCTCCGTATATCAAAACTTACAAGATACTTATGAGGGCCTAATGCTATGGAATCACTTTACAAGCCTGAGTTGTAAACTTAGAGAAGCCAATACCGCTCAAAATGAACATGATCTATTTTATTGCCAATCCAAATTCTTTACTTGATTTTTTCAAACAATACAATTTTATCATCTTTTTTATTATCAAAGGATAAGACTTTTTTATTCCGGTCTTTTAACTATTATAAATGATGAAATGTATATTAAATATTTTCAAATATTTTATGTCGGAAATCACCTTGAACTGTAAACGGCTGCAGACAAAAATAAATAATTAAAATAAAACCATTTATTTACTCATGCTTCAACTTAAAAATAAGGCATGAATAATTAATAGTGGAAAACATTTCGAAGGTTTTGAATACTTAACGTTTTTTAAATTTACTGCGATTTGCTTGCAATTATACTAACACCGCATAGAGATAACGCGCGTATGCTTAAATCTACTGTTAATAAACTAGACTTTTTTTTTTATTATTTTAAAAAAAAAAGGATTAGTGCAAAGCAACCTCGGCAGGCGCAAATTTTTTATTATCGCTACTGTAAATGGAATTTTAAGTCGTAAAAGTCCAGAAAAATTTTGATTATAAAAAATATTAAAATGACTGCATGAATTATTTCAATTTATGAATTTTCTCTTAATAAAATATCTGTTTTTTTTTAAAGAAAGATTTAATTGAAAAAATTTTTAATGCAAAATTTAAAATAAAAATTATTAATATGAATTATTATTTTCGATTGAGCAAAACTAATTTTTGAGTTTTTTAAAACAAAAGAAAGATCAAAATTTAATGCGTAAGCAATTTTAAGAAAAGATTTTTACTAAAAAAATTATAAATTATTTTATAAGTATGTTGCGCAAAATATATTTCTTAATTGTATTATAACTATATATTATATAATATGTAAGAAATTATATTTAAAACTAATAAGAAACTAAACTTTATATTAGTATTTGCGCATTTTTAAGGGGTATTGATTTAATTCACTTTTTAAAATTAAAATAATCAATGCAAGGATAACTTTCTGACGTCATTTATTTTGTAGAACTATATTGTTGTGGGTTTTTAATGTTGATAGTGTGCGCTGTGGTTTGAATGTTTATTGACAATTTACTAAGACAACGACTACTAAGACTTATTAATACTAGACAAACTAAATAGTGTTGGCGCAAGTTTTTTTTATGCATATTTACATATAACACGTGTTTATTAGAAAACTTACGCAAGTAACATGTTTTTTATATTTGTATTTTTTTCTTTTTTCTTTTAGAGACTTTTTATTTTCACTCATTATATAGAATTAAACTTAAATTAAATTATATATTAAATTAAATTCCAAAATTTGTATTAGGATGTCATTTTCTAATCGAACCATACTTTTGGCAGTTGATCAGAGCAAAGCAGCATTACGCGCCTTTAACTGGTATGTTGAAAACCTGCATAAAAGAGAAGATACTTTGATATTAGCTCATATTCATCGAATGCCTGATCTTCCAAACAAAATAATGTTGACAGAAATGCCTTCGGTAGGATTATTGGAAAACTACAAAATAAAAACAATATCAAGTTATGAGCAAAGTAAGGAGCTGCTTACCAGTTACGAAAATCTTTGTAAAGAACATCAAATTACTTCAAAAGTCATTCTTGCTGAAAACCAGGATTCTCCTGGGCATAAAATTTGCGAGCTAGTTAAAGCAAATGAAGTCGATATCCTAATAACCGGACAAAGAGGACTTAGCAAGTTTGATCGCATATTCTTAGGAAGTACAAGCGATTATATTATTCATCATGCACAAATCCCTGTCATTGTTGTACCACCAGAAAGTAAAAACCATTAAAATGATCAGATTTTATTTCATGTTTTACGTGTATATATATATATATATATATATATATATATATATATATATATATATATATATATATATATATATATATATATATTTATATTTATATTTATATACATATATATAACTGATTGTATTTACGAATTACTGAAGCATCTTTTAATTTAACTTATTGCAAAATCGATAAAATCGATACAAATCTTGTAAATTGTGTTGTGCATAAAAAACTTTTCTTTGAGCAGCATTTATACATTTATTTAGACCTGTAGTGAAATTTACATAGCTGTTTACATATATCAGGAAAATTGAAACTCGCTTTTTGACAAAAATGAAACTTTATTTCGGGCAAATTTTTATCATGTAAACAAATAGCCTTAGAATTAGAATTTGAATTGCATTTCATTTTATATTGTTGCATTTATTTAAAAACAATTGTAGTTTACTAACTGGTAAGGTGAGGGGAATAATGGAATGTTCTGTACGTAAACAGGGCCGGCTTTTGAAGGAGTTAGGGGGGGGGGGGAGATTGTGAGCCAAACGAGGGCGGCAAGTAAGTAGGGGCGGAAAATTTAATTAGACACATGTAATTTTCTTATAATAAATTAAAAAAAAGAAGATTTTTCACCTGATCTTTCCAAAAAAACGCGGTTTTAAATTTGAACAACAAAAAATTACTAAATGTATTTTAAATATAATCAACGCAAGATTTTCAATCGTAATTTGTAGTATCCAAAAAAAGACGTCTTTTAAACGTCCAAAGCGTGTATAAGATGTTTAAAAGACGTCTTTTTTACGTATGTGTCCACTGTGGTATTGCTCTGTGGAAAACTAGATAAAGAGGTATATATCAAAATATAGCTTTCTAAAAAGGTCCTGCGGGGCCCCAATAGGCAGAATTTTTCTATTAAAGATTTAATAATCAAAATAAAAATAATAATGTGCATCATATATGGTTTTTGTGAAAAACATATTACAACGTATTTTTGTTGAATATAATAACTACCCTACGGGCATTTGTTATTCAAAGTTACATTCTAAATGTCTTTTAAACGTCTTTTTAACGTTCTTTACGTAAGAATATTTAAAAGACGTTTAAAAGACATTTAGAACGTAACTTTTAAAAACAAATGCCCGTTGGGTAGAGACACTATTGTGTATTTATATATTATATATTATATTTGATTTATAGATTTTTATATAATTTATATTTAAAAGACGATTATATATAAAAAAACGATTTTACCCTCGTACATTAGTATTTTTCAACGCCTCCCTTTTTTTTAGGTTTTCATTGAAGACCTTGCAAACTAAACTCCGGTCGGGCCTCGCGCTTGCTCAAGCCGGCACTGCCTAAGAGTCATTTCGAAAAGTTGCATAATTTTTTTATAAAGAAGTTCAAAAGTTAATAGTTTTGTTATTAAATGTTAGATTTTAAAAATTTTTAAAAATCAGTAAAATTTTTTTTTATTATTTTCTTTCAGAATTTCATGAACGTTTCTTGAGAACTTTGATCAATTTTTTTTTATAGAAATTTATCTTACGAATAAAAATTAATCTGTCTCATGTCACATAAAACTTTAAATTCGAAAAAAAAGTTGTCTGAGTTTGAGTACAGAAAGTCCGAGAAAGATCTAAAATTTGAAAAAATTAAAAAATTTACGAGCATTAAAAAATTTGTTGTTTATAAAAAACCTGACGAAGATCGTAATAATTTAAACAAAATATACGATGCCTCAACTATTTCTACGACTATGTCCAATAAAGTTGGAGAACCTTCAGCAATTCTAGTTAGTTAAATAAAGCTAGCTGTTGATTGGCGTGTTCTGTAAGTCCATTAACATCTAGCCGAGCTAGCTCGTACATGATTGCACGAAATTTGCTTTGAAACAATTGACACTATGAGCACAACTTCGTTTGGTAGTGTGCTGCATGGGTGAGCAATTCCAGGTTACGATGCTATCCATATCTGCTTGCAGACGACCATCTTGTATTCAGCGGTTTTGACGACACTCAGAATTATAGTATTGTCTGCCTAGTTTTACATTTTACAGATGCTTTTACAATTAACGTTTTCAGGTAAGTCCTTGATAAAGAGGATATAGCACTGTACCTTAAGGAACGCAACTAGTAACTTGCTCCCCGTTGAATGAGGTGTTTCCGAGAATAACGCGTTGTGATCTATTTAAAAGAAAATCTAGTCAAAAATTTACCTTTAATTCCGTAGGATTCAAGTTTTTGTGAGTCTTCTGTGAGGGACTTTGTTGAAAGCTTTGACAAAGTCAAGAAAGAGTACGTCTACAGAAAGTTTATGAGAAACGTTGTAGGTTAGAAGGCCCGTGGTCTTTAGCAGATTTGTGACGCAGGCTTTTTATTGATGAAGCCGATTTGACAATCCGCAATAAGATTGCTGTCTACAAGGTGCTCCATGATCTTGTCTTTTACCATTTTTTCCATTTTTTTGCATGGCACAGAGATAATAGAAATTGACCTGTAGTTTGCTGGGTTTCGTCTGGAACCTTTTTTGAACAGTGGCGTTACGTTTGCCAAGAGCCACGATTTGTGACTACGCCTTGATCTAACAATTTTTTTAAAAAAAAGGCAAGTGGGGCATCCGCCGCATAGACGCATTCTTTAAGCAGAAATAGGGCAATATGGCCAACTCCTACTGATTTATTGGCGTTGAGAGCAAATAAGTGTTTGTGAACGGAATCATAAGTGAAGATCACGGAGGAGATTAAAGAGGTTGTCCATTTGATGAAGAGCGGTAAAGATTGATCTGACGGTTCAACCGTGAATACTGATGTTTAGTAAATTGGCAATGAATACTTGGTTGTTGCTTATTTGCCCAGAAGGTGAGCACATTTATTTGATTGCTATTTGAAGAGGTTATTTGATTTTCTGACGGAAGCGTAGAGACGTTTAGGGTTCTATTTGTTGTTGGCTAATTTAAGTTCGAATTTTCTAATCGTAATGGAGGAAGTTTTTTTTGACAAGGTTTTGAGTAGGATTGTACTCTTTGACAAGTGAAACGAGTTTCTATTTGCTGTTGCGGTTAAGGTATCAAATTTTTTTTTAGTTTGGTTAACAAAAAAAGTTTGCTAGTCAGCCAAGGCTGTCTGTATTTGGTCGGTTTGGAATGAATTCGTTGCAGCATTTAATAAAGCTGTCACAGAAGATTTGGTAGCATTCATTGGCATATTGATCTTTAAATAGATTTACCCAATCAACTTGGGAGTATTTCTCGCTTAGTTTAGAGTAGTTACATTTCTTATAGATGAATTTTGAGCTGTTAAAACGGTAAGAATTCTAAGCATTTTTGGTTGATTGGTGTTGTTATGTCAGAGTGCAGTAGCTATTTGGGACACTACCTATAGGAGGACCAATATTAATGTAGCTTATTTGATTGGCCATTACGTTAATTATGAGGTCTAGCGTGTTTTTGAATAGGTTGTTGGCTTGGATGATAGTGAGATCAATAACGTGCAAGTGTAGATGTTGGTTGAATATGACTTCGACAAATTTTGCGCCTAAACTAGTTTTGACACCAGTGTTATTAATTCAGTTATCATGCTATTTAACGTTTGGGAAATCGAAGTCACCAATGATTAAAAAAACTATTAAACTTTATATAGATAAACATATAAATATAGGTAAACTCTTTGAGAAGGCAATGCATAATAGACTATATTCTTTTCTTGAAAATTTTAAATGCTTTTACACCCATCATAATGGATTTCGTGCCAATCACTCCACAACTCATACTCTCATTGAAAAGACTGAACTAATTAGTAAAGCACTTGATGATAAATATTTTGTATGTGGTTTATTTGACGATTTACAGAAAGCGTTTGACACAGTGGATCATTCAATTTTGTTCAAAAAATTAGAATATTATGGGATCAGAGGCGTACCGCTTAAATGGTTTAAATGAAAAATTTTTGAAAAAAAAAAATTATAAAAACGAAAAAATATATAAACAATACAAAAATCTATTTGAAAAATTACAAAAAAAAACTATTATTGCAATTTATTAGAATTTTATTGCGGTAACACCAAAAAAACATGGGGCGTAATAAAAGAGGTAATAGGAAAAAAAAAAGATGATACTAAAGTGTTCCCGCAATACTTAAAAACAGATGAAAATGATACAGTAGCCAATAAGGCAATAGATATTGCAGAGAAATTTAATAACTATTTTATGAAAATTGGGGAAAAATTAGCTATTAAAATAACTCCTGGAAAAAATTGTTATAAATTGTATCTAAGAAAAAAAGCCTCAATCATGAATGAGCTTTTACTTTTCCAATGAGCATTTAACTTTAACTTGTTCTAAATTTATTTTACTAAACGAATTTATATATAAACAGTTATATCAATTGTAAAACGTAGTTTTTCACATTTTTACATATTTTATCACAAACAATTTATCACGATTTTATATATTTTGTTGTAAAAAACGACCTGTAATGAAGTCACTATGGGGCTCGGTGATAAGACAAACTGATGTCTTCTTCTTGCTCCAGCCATTTGTTTTATTATTTATGTTATTTTATAAATTGTAACTTTCTACGGTAAAAATTAAATAAAAAAAAAAAAAAAAAAAAAAGAGCTTGAAATAACTCCGGATGAGCTTAAAAATGCATTTAATACCTTACAACAAAACAAAAGTTCAGGACTAGATGACTTTAGCGTAAATTTTGTAAAAAATGTCTTCGATATTATAGATTATCCCCTTCTGCATATCTGTAATCTGTCTTTAAAAAATGAGGGTGTTCTCTGACCAGCTAAATTTAACAAAGGTTGTTCCTATATTTAAAAGCGGAGATGATTCTATTGCTTCTAACTACAGGCCTATTTCTATTTTGCTATGCATTTCGAAAATATTAGAGCAAAATAGGCTATCTAGTAAACCACCACCTGCTAAATAATAACCAATATGGCTTTCAAAAACACCATTCAACAGAACACGCTGTAGCCAAACTTGTCAATGAAATTTTAAAAGGGTTTGACAACAATAAATACACTCTTGGGGTATTTCTCGATCTCTCAAAAGCGTTTGACACTGTTGAATACGAAATTCTTTTTTATAAACTGTATAATAACAATAAATAACAATTTAAAATGATTTCGCTCTTACCTTAATAATCGGAAACAAGCTTGATCATATAACAACACTGTAACTCGACTTGAAAACATTACTTGTGGGGTCCCACAAGGATCAATTCTCGGTCCATTGTTATTCCTCGTTTATATTAATGGTATCTACTTATCTTCTAACATACTTAATTTTGTCCTTTTTGCTAATGATACGCAAGTATTCTTTAGCCACACAAACATTAGCCTATTATTTAACACTGTTAATCAAAAACTTGAAAACCTGAACGAATGGTTTAAGGCTAACAAACTC